CACTGATCTGACAGAAGGTGGAACTCAGGCAGTAATGCTCACTCACTCACTGCTCACCTCCTACTCTGAGGCCCAGTTCCTCATAGGCCATGGACTGGTGGTAGGAATTGGGGGCCCCTGCTCTAAAGAAAGCAGCAATATCTTTATTGTGGTAATAATACCACAGCAAAGAAAAGAAACACATTCACACAACTTTAAATACAATTTTTAGGAGTTCAGAGACCTACTGAGGCCATCTATGACTACGTCTATTAGACTTCAGGTTGAAAACTTTTAGTTTCAATGTTCAAAGCAGAGAAGACTTTTCTCTTTCCTAATAGGATGGATTTGGTCTCTAAGAATAGGATTATAACAAGTGAGGGTTAATATTTTTAAAGTTTTATTTTGGATGTAACAGCTTATGCTACAGAATTATCTCTTAGTTATGAATTACTAGTATCAGCTAATCATTATCATCCATTTAGTACTTTTATAAAACAAATCCTCCCACATGAATGGAAGGAAAATAGTTTTTCTAAGACCCTTCCTCTTTTCTTGGGCCTTCTCTGTGGGTAGGGACTGAACCATATCCTTGATTTCTAGATAAAGTGTTTTATAGGTCAGTACTGTTCGAAGAGCAGGACACTGGTATATTGTGCTCTGGCATAGGTCAGCTCTACAAAGAATCCAAGGAGGGATAATCCAGTCAAGCGATTCCATTTCTCCAGAAAAGGCTTGCTGTCCTTTTCCTTGCCTCCCTATAATAATCCTGTGACCTGTCTCCCACATGTGAAGAAGTTAATTTACTAACTTCACTAACTTAGCTTAGTCAGAAGTATTTCATTTATCTAACACAAAGGAGCCCACATCCATACTCTCTGGGGTCAATTTAGTATTTACTTATAGTCTTAACGAGCACCCTCTTTTCCTCCTGCACTATACATTCTTCCTCTGGTAATACTGGATTCTGAAAAAGAATGGAACAAAATCACTTTTGATCTGTCTAAAATTGAGAGAATGGGAATCTTTTGAGTAAATTATCGCTTTTGTATAAACTGTTGGTCTTTACAGAATGCTTATTCTGTGCTCCATGATGTGGTAAATTAATTGGGATTACAAAGATGAACATACTCCTTCTAGCACCAACAAGATCTTCATGGACTAGAGGTAGGGCAGTGCAGTGGAAACAGCAGGAACTTTACTGTGAAGCAAATGAATCCTCATTCTGTGAACTAGGGGAAATTACTTATCCTTTCTGGGCTTCAGTTTCTCCGTCTTCAAAAGCAGGCCTGTGAAGATAATGATAATTTTTGTAAAGATCCTAGCAAAACAGCTTGATCATAGTAGGTATTCAGTAAATGGTAAATTATAAGGAAGGCTTAGGTAGATTCTCTTCTAGTAGAACTTCTACATTTGTTGATACTGTTAGCTGAAAAATCAGTCAAAATCTCTCCCTCTTTAGCTTATGAGGATAGGTTGGCCAAATTGTTAGCAACAAGACAGTGTCAGTGTTTCAACTCCATGTTCTTTGACTAAGTTTCTAAGTGCTTAGACTTCTGGAGCCAGACATTCAGTTAGAAAGACTTAATAATTTATTACACAGCTATTTATTGAGAGCTGCTTATGTGCTAGGTGTTGGAACTACAGTGGTAAACAAGGACAAGGTGAGGTCCTTGCTCTGATGAACCATTCAGTATAGTGAGAACCAGACAGACATTAAACATGCCTTAAAGCCATTAAAATCTCATGGGCCCTCAGTTACAGAATACACATGATTCAGTACTGACTGATTATATGAGTCCCTTTTTCTTCCACACTTGGGTTATTTATGCATTAGACTCTTTGGAAAATGCCCCTGTGCACTTTTTCAAGCTGTTAGTGTGCAATAGTTTAAGAGATTCCATTCTAGCAGTAATCATGGTTATTATATAAAATGGTAGGCATTGCCTGACTCTGGTTCAACAGGAAACTAGCACCAGACATACGTTGTTCCATTTTGATGGGAATTACTAGTTTGGTAGGGGGGTTGAAACCATTCTAAACCAGTGGTCTTTAAACTTTCTATTTTTTTCCTTTTCTTGAGACAGGGTCTCACTTAGTCACCCAGGCTGGAGTGCAGTGGTGCAATCATAGCTCATTTCAGCCTTGACTTCCTGGGCTTAAGTGATCCTCTCACCTCAGTTTCCCAGGTAGCTGGGACTGCAGGCATGTGACACCATGCTAAGCTAATTTTTTGATGTTCTATAGAGATGAAGTCTCACTGTGTGTCCCAGGCTATTCGTGGACTCCTGGGCTCAAGTGATCCTCCTGCCTTGGCCTCCCAAAGTGTTGGGATTACAGGCATGGGCCACTGTACCCAACCTCTTAACCTTTAGTAGCTGTATAGTATTCCAATGTAATTCAGTAATTTATTTAACTACTCCTCACTGATGAGTGGTATAATTATTTTCAGTTTTTGCTACTATAAATACTGAGGCACTGAATGTCCTACATATATTTTGGCAAACTTTTATACATATATGTATGTAAGTAGGGCAAAATAGGGACTATTAGGGTAAAATAGGGAATATTTGATCAAAAGGTGTATTGTATTTAAGATTTTGATAGATATTGCCAAATTATTTTATCCATGCAGATTTTAATTTAAAGTCTGGAGTGAGACTGAGCAATCTGTGTTTTTGACAAGTTTCCTAGGTGATTTTGATGCCTCCAATTTGAACTATTGCCGGATCAGAAAAATGGAGTATAGTACACATCCTCTGGAAAACATCAGGCAATTATGGTTATCTAGGGAAGAGTAAAAAGCCTTTTCGGTGACTGAGCTGTAAGAGTGAATTTATCTTAAGTAGCAGTTGCTAGGGATGGCCCATCTTTAGAGAAACAAAGTATAGTAATATTTATCTGGAATGTTTTATGTCTTTTTGATATATAATGTAGGGAAAAGAATGTAAAAATTGTAAGGACCTGAGTTTGAACACTTTGCATTTAGTAACTGTAATCTTGGGCAAATTAATGAACTTGAATTTTTCTTTATATAATGATAATATCTACCTTCCAGGTTTGTTGCAAAGATTAAAGAGAGAATGATACAACGCTTGTTGAGTACCTCTTCTGTCTTCTAGTATTTTATGGCTATCTCTGTCGTGGCAGTTTGTCATTTAGCTTTAATTAGTAATTTACCTAGTCATCTCCCCATTAGAGTAACTGGGACCATGTCTTGTACTTTAGTGTTCCCAGTCACTAGCCCAGACTCGAGACTTGGTGCACTATTCTGTTACTTAAATGACTGTGTACATTTTCCATTTTACTGTTCATAAGTATCCTAAGAGACAAGTATTATTTGCTTCATTTTACCATGAGGAAATGCTCAGGGAACTTAAATAACTTTCTTAAGATAGCGCAGCATGGCATAACCAAAATTGAAAACTGTGTGTGTGATTTCAAACTAGATAAAGTCTGTGCTTTTTCCATGAATCCACTTTGCTGAGATAATGATATAAGGCATGTTGGAAATTTTGAAATTGCTACTCAAGTGTAAGATGATTTTTGTTATTTTAATACTATACTTTAAAAATTAGCATGGTGATTGAAACATTTCTTCTGCCTATACTCAAGATTCTTCAGTTTGGCTTTCCTGAAATCATGGTATAACCAAGTCTGCCTTGTCTGTAAGAATGTAAGTGATCATTTCCTCTTGTGAGTGATTTTTCTCTATTTTTCTTGCTTAAAATTCTGTCTTTGCTTTTCTTTTGGTGAACTTTTTGATTTTTATAAACACATGGTTTAAGATGTTTTATATAGTGGTTACGGCAGGATTTTGGTAACATTGGAAGTTTTAGTAGAAGTAATGTTGTCTTCCTGTCTGGTCTTTACCTTCATTTCCGTCTTTCATTAGCAGCCTTATATGGACCCCTTCAGGGCATGGGTCACTGATTCGGATGTCATCACATGTCAGCCCTGCTATTGGATATCTCTATTTTGTAGGTCATAACCACATTGCTTAAGGGTGTGGAAACAGAGAGGAAAATATCATTTCATAAGTTTCATGTTTATCTTGCTTTTAACGGCGCTTTTCTTTTGAGAATTGGGTTGTTAGGTTGTTTTGAATATTTAATCATAAATAGTTGGGAAGAAAAAGAAAAATGTCCCCACTCTCTGACCCTTATGTCATAAAATTCACAGCGTTGCAAAACAGGAATAGCATACAGCAAGAAGTGTTGCAATAGGAAGAAATGTGTTACTTATTAGAGTTGGACATGGGAATTTTCCCAACAATTTCTGTTTTGTAGTCTATTTTCCAGACCATATAGGGATATTTGCCCAATATTCTATATAAATTTGTTCATTTTATGTTTTATTTGACTTTTTTTTTACCTTTGGTAAAACGACTTTGGGTTGGTTTCCTTTCTCCCTCAGGCCTGATGATGTTGGGGATGGATGGTGGATGTTGGAGGCAGGCTGCGTTATGGATTCATTTGAGTCATTGATGCATTTAAGTTTAGCCATTGCCTTGGTACATGTAATTCTGCCTTTGTTGTTCATGTCTACTTCACTAGCTCTTTAAGGCATGTGGAATTGTGTTGGAAAATGCATGCCTGATTTCCATCTTGATGTTTCTTAAGTCTGGTTTGAACCCTGGGAACACAGTTGCAGTCTTCAATGTCTTAGTATTTTTAGATGGAGCTTTTATACTTTAGGGTTTACTGAGATGAACTTTGGAGAGAAAGTCTAAACAGAATAATTTATGACCTGCAGGAACAGAGGATGTCATGTTTAAGAACGGGAAGAACCCTTTTCCTATTAGTAACAGTTGTTGAATGATAATGCATGGAGTGTCATCAGTTTTTTTTCATGTGATTTTTAATGTTCTTATTTAGAAATTGATATTCTTATATTAACTATTTTGGAAAATGTCCCAAGGTATACTTTATAATGGCAATAAAATCTAAGATAAAATATTATGTAATAAGGTTTCAGAAGTTATGTGTCTTATATATTGTAAAACTTTTTTTTTTTTTTAGGCATATGGATCAGGCTGTGATATTGTTATTTTGGCAAATGACTTTGAATGTGTACAGATCATTCCTGGTGCTAAGCATGGAAACATCCAAGTCAGCTGTGTGGAGTGTTCTAACCAACAAGGAAGAGTAAGGGATTTAATTTCTTTACTAAATGTCATTTAAAAATGTATTTAATAATCTCAGAATATTCTCATCCTTTTATGCAAAGCTTGTCTAAAATTTCTTATGTATTGCTTGGGTGGCTGTTAATAGAAGTTGTAAAGCGATAGGTTTATACAAATTGTAAAGTGCCATTAAACTGATAATTTGACAATTGTTCTACAGCTGTATGTATACTGTCTTCAAAGATCTGTAGGCCTTACAATCCTGTGCATACTGACATTCTGCCAGTTACTACTTCTAGCAGCCATTAAGCCAGTAAGGGGAAGTAAACTTTTATCTTCTCTACCTAGCACCCCTTATATCCCTCATACTATAACATCAAAGTTGTATTAAGAAATTCTGCAAGTTGTTAATGTCTAATATCATGCTTGTCATATAGGAAGAGATTTGTAAAATCTGTTAGCATAATGAAACTTTTTTTGTTGAGTGAAGAGTCTTATAGTTCATTCAGGCTTTAAAACAGACGGTTTATTTTGAAATAGTTAAAATTTCATCATATGTACCTCTCCCACAATTTTCAAACATAATGTACATCAAATTTTGGTTGCATGTCAATATGGCGTGTTTGCTGTATACTCCAGCAATTCAGTAAGGCCAATTTTATGTAGCTGAGTTGAATGTCTCTACAAGAACAGAGAAATAAGATTTTTACCTATAGTCATTGTAATAGTTTAAACTATTGTAGTGTTCTAGAAATTGTTCCTTATTGGGTAACAAATTTGGTCAAGGATGTGTTAAATCAGAATATTCATGTTGATAAATAGTAATCATACAAATTTATACTGAATGGTAAATTATGGTTACTTTATTATACCATTTATCCTGCCCTATCCTACTGCCCATATCAAGCTTTAATATTTGTGTAAATGTACCAGTACTTGACAGTTCAGTGATACATTTGACCTAGTATTGGAACACTGGATTTCCTGGTGTTTCCTGATACTCGTTTCTTGCTTTTCTAATTTTCCCCCCAGGTACTCCCCACCCTCAAGCATTGCTTACACTTATTTTAGAAAACACGGAGAGTGTCAGATTTCTCTCGTTTTTTGTTGCTCTTCTCTCTGGGCCAAGCAAGGTAGCTTAAGCCTGCCTAAAGTTGTATGATAGTTGTCAGAGGTGAATTTTAGTAAATAGCTCAAGTGCCGGTGATAATTGCAATGAACACATTCTCTGGGAGTAAAATTTTTTAAAAAGGTATATAAGACATTGGTATTCATACCATGGGAAACAGAGCAACTTGTGTTTCTACTTTTCTTGAGCTGGTTTAGTGTAAATAAGGCAAAATTGTAGTATCTTTATTGTCTTTGTTGACATCTTCCTTTAGCTTTTATCCCCCAGTTCTTGTGGTGATAACTTTCACATTCGTGACTTTGTATTAGTCTGTTATAAGCATTCATTCATTCATTGACATGTTGAATGGAATCATTCACAGCACTTTTTGCATGTTATTTGAAGTAGCTTTCTGTTGTGGATTATGATTTTTCTTGGAAAGAATGTTAGATGTTAGGTAAGAGTTAAAATCACTTTTTGGCATGACAGTGCCTTAAAAATCACAGGGAATATTTTTGGCAGACCTTAAAAGAATATATACCTAATGAAGTTTTAAAGGTTAACTGGGGTGCAGAGGTGTCAGAAAGGATGGTTTTTGGTCTGTTCCCTGTAGTTAATTCCATCTTACCAAGAGGAGGATGAACTTGGAACTAGCCTTCAAGAAATTATTGGAAAACAGGCTCTGGTAGTTTCTAGGAACAGAGGGATTTATGTCTTTTCTTATCAGGTATGTGACATGGGACAAAATCCTCCTGGTCCCTAAATTTCTTGCTTCAGTCCTCTGGAGATGTCTTCTTCAGCTCTTTCCCCCAGGTGCAGTGTATGGCTCCCGGACTTCTTCTTGGCCTGTTTTTTCTATTCCTTCCTCTACATGGTGTCCCAATTGGTATTTTCTGTTTGATGGTATAATTAGGCCATTTTATTTGAAATATTTTTAAGACATGTTATTAATTGATGCTTTTCTCATGGATTTTATATTATTTTCACTGGATTATAAAGTTTCTGACAAAGATGTGTGCTTTTGAAATGTATTTTTTAATAGTTGTTTTTATATTAAAAATAAAATTCTTATGAAAAATGTGATTTTTTTAATGTGCATATATATATTTTTATTATACTTTTTAAGTTCTGGGGCACATGTGCAGAACGTGTAAGTTTGTTACATAGATATACACATGCCATGGTGGTTTGCTGCACCCATCAACCCATCATCTACATTAGGTATTTCTCCTAAGTCTATCCCTTCTCTAGGCCCCCTACCCCCTGACAGGCCCTGGTGTGTGATGTTCCCCTCCCAGTGTCCATGTGTTCTCATTGTTCAACTCCCACTTATGAGTGAGAACATACAGTGTTTGCTTTTCTGTTCGTGTGTTAGTTTGCTGAGAAAATGGTTTCCAGCTTCATCCATGTCCCTTCAAAGGACATGAACTCATCCTTTTTTATGACTGCATAGTATTCCATGGTGTATATGTGCCACATTTTCTTTATCCAGTCTGTCATTGATGGGCATTTGGGCAGATTCCCAGTCTTTGCTATTGTGAATAGAGCCACAGTAAACATACATGTGCATGTGTCTTTACAGTAGAATGATTTATAATCCTTTGGGTATATACCCCATAATGGGATTGCTGGGTCAAATGGTATTTCTGGTTCTAGATCCTGGAGTAATTGCCACACTGTCTTCCACAATGGTTGAACTAATTTACACTCCCACCAACAGTGTAAAAGCGTTCCTATTTCTCCACATCCTCTCCAGCATCTGTTGTTTCTTGACTTTTTAATGATCACCATTCTAACTGGTGTGAGATGGTATCT